GAATGTCAGTGTCGTGGAATTGTATGTGTAGAAACGGTTGAATTGCCATCTGTTGTGCTGTGTATATTTTCAACAGCAGCAACAACAGACAAAAAAAATGGCAAGGTGGCTAAGCGCCAACACAAATGGCAGTTGGCCCGGGAAGGAGACGAGTGCTCTGAGGAGGAAGTAGTGATTCCAGCTGAAGGGCGTTAGTGCGCCTCATCGGAGGAAGTGTGCCTGTGCGGTTGTCAGGGTGACGGGAGGCCGGTGGAAAGGACAGCCAGGCTGCAGCTTGGGGGCAGCAAAGGGCCCTGATTGTGTGTGTGTGTGTGTGTGGTAAGGCTATGTACGTGTGTATAAAGACAGCACATGAGTGTGTATAAAGAAAGCACATGAGTGTGTATAAAGAAAGCATATGAGAGTGTATAGCCTGTTTGTGTATAGTTGTATGTATGTGTGTTTAGGCTGTGTGTATGTGTATATGGGCTACATATATAAGGACTGTGTGTATGTGTGTTAGGGTTTTGTGTGTATGGGCTACACGTATGTATAAAGACTATGTTTCCAGGGGCAATGTGTGTAAGCTCTGTGTATATGCCTGGATGCATGTGTAAGGGTCATGTGTATACAGGCTCTGTGTATGTGTGCAGTTCCGCTGCCACCAGGGGGCTTGGAATGAAGGGGGTGTGTAGCTTAGGACTGTTTGTCACAAGAGAAGGTCCCAGAGTTTTCTGGCGTGCACTTGCTAAGCAGTAGATGGTGCCCACAGAACCTTCAGGTGACAGTTTTGCTGTGGGCATAGCATGGTTGGAGTACATCTGGGGTTAGCTGTGCGTTTTTACCTGGGGATTGATTGTATTTTATGTGAGAAACAGAGGCCCAAGTTAGGAAGCTGAAGGGAAATTGGATGGATGTTCCTATTGGCTTCTTAAGTACATGTGGTATGTAGAGCCTGGTGTGTTGTCTGTGTGGAGCCTGATGCATTGTCTGTGTGGAGCCTAGTGCGTTGTCTGTGTGGAGCCTGGTGCGTTGTCTGTGTGGAGCCTGGTGCGCTGTCTATGAGTTACAGTTTCTCACGTGATTACTCACACAGCAGAGTAAGAAAAGGAGAGGGGATGAGGAAGAAAATCTCACAGTCTTTAAAAATATTTTAAATAGAAAATTAGGTTCTCATTTGACAGTTTCTATATAAATTGTTCAGTGACATTTGTGTTTTTCTCAAGTTGGTTTCTCACCTTCTCCTTAATTGCATTCTGGTTGTTCTATTTCCAGAATTCTAGTTTCCCTGTCCCCTTCTCTTCTCATCTTTAGAGTAAGTGCTGATCTGTGGGTTTCATAGAGGTGGTATTTCAGTAGACCACCGTACTTTTGGTTGAAGAAGCCCCACCTTCTAGGCTCAACTAGTTACCTTTTCTGAAGCTCCATCGTCTGCTCAATAAAATATGGGTGAGAAGGCACCTGGGTGTCCCAATCACCGTTTGTGATCAACTGTTGGCCTCACGATTGGAGGCTGGAACCCACTCTGCAGCTCTGTGGGATTAAGGCCCAGCAATCTGCTTCCATAAAGATGCCGGCCAAGCACATCGTGTGAAGCAGTACAGCTCTGTAGCTCATGGGACACCAGGAGTTGGGGAGTGCGACAGCAGGGAGTGATGGTGTTTCTTAAAAACTAATGCATGAGAGTATGTGGGGGCTTCAAAAAGTTCATGGAAAAATGCAAGGAGAAGAGAACGGAATTTTTCCACAGAATCTTTGAAGCCTTCTCTGCCTTCTTAGCAAGCATACACTCAGAAGCATTTTATTACTGTTCAAAGTATGAGGTACTGTCTTATTATTTTGCTTTCAACTGTTTATTGTGACTTGGGAGACAGTTTCCAGAGTAAATTGGCTTTCCATCCAACAATCCATACACATTTTATTTGTGCCATGGAATGCAGTCCCCACAATGCAACAGCGCTCTTTCACTTTATCCCTGTTTACCATTTCCGTTCGTCCTTCTTTCCTCTCCCTTCCTGCCTTCCGAGCTTTCTCTCTGGGCACCTGCTGTCCTTATGATTTCATGTGGTTGATCGTTATAAGCAGTGTGTATCTCCCTACTGTTGATGTATACTTTATAAGCTTATTTGTCTAAAAGTTGAGCCATTGGGGTTAAATCAGTTCTAAGGTGTCCAAGGGCAGTATTCTCGAAGATGTCTTTACTATCTTAAGGTTTTACTTTATTCTCTGTTGTCATCCCCAGGTGACTGGTCCTAGGTCACCACTGAGATTTATGAAGAATGTGTGTGGTGTGGTGCCAAGCAGGAAGCCACTGGAGGTTGTGATGGAGCCCCCACCTGGCTGATGGGTTCCCACCTGAAAGCCTGATTTTGTGCTTGGCCTCTAGGGGGCAGGATGTGAGCAGATTTGTCAGGATTTTAGGGTTTGCGAGGCAGGAATGAAGCAGCGATTGTGAGGTTGGCACAGGACTTGGCAGTGTTTTGTTCTGTTGTGTATAGGGTCTCTATGAGTCAGTACTGACTCGATGGCACCTAACAACAACAACAACAAAGTCAGATCCCCTCAGCAGTTGGCTTTGACACAGAGTTGTGTGTACATGTGTGTGCATGCTTGTGTGAGTCTGTGCAGATGTGCGTGTGTGTCCAGCTGTGTGTGTGTGTCTGAGTGTGAGTGTGTGTGTCTGAGTGTGAGTGTGTGTCTGGGTGTATGTGTATCCAAGTGTGCATGTGTGTCCGAGTGTGTGTGTGTGTGTGTCCGAGTGTGCATGTGTGTCTGAGTGTGAGTGTGTGTCTGAGTGTATGTCTATCCGAGTGTGCATGTGTGTCCGAGTGTGCGTGTGTCTGAGTGTGCGTGTGTGTCTGAGTGTATGTCTATCTGAGTGTGCATGTGTGTCCGAGTGTGCGTGTGTGTCCGAGTGTGAGTGTGTGTGTCTGAGTGTGAGTGTGTATCTGGGTGTATGTGTATCCGAGTGTGCATGTATGTCTGAGTGTGCGTGTGTGTCTGAGTGTGAGTGTGTGTGTCCGGGTGTGCATGTGTGTCTGAGTGTGAGTGTGTGTCTGAGTGTATGTCTATCCGAGTGTGCATGTGTGTCCGAGTGTGCGTGTGTGTCTGAGTGTGGGTGTGTCCGAGTGTGCGTGTGTGTCTGAGTGTAGTGTGTGTGTCCGAGTGTGCGTGTGTGTTCAGGGCTTCCCCGTTGAGGGTACTGCCATCGGGGTGATTGGCGTCACTTGGTGTAGTGTCTTGATTGGTCATTTAACTACCACAGGTGCTTCTGTGGCACCTTAGCATTTACAAGGAGCCCTGGTGGCACCGAGGGTTAGCCATTGGGGTGCAAGTCGACAGTTCAAACCCACCAGCTACTTCAAGGGAGAAAGATGAGGCTGTGTGCTCCCGTGTCCTGTAAAGATTTACAGTCCTGGAAACCTTACGTAGGATCACTATGAGTTGGCATCGACTTGCTGGCAGCTGGTTGGAGTTTGCAGAGAGCAATTTCACTGATCCTGTGAGCAGCAGCTGCCACCATTGTGTCCAAAGCCAGGATTGCAGAGGCAAAGTGGTGGGCTGTGTGGGAAGGGGGCAGTTTGGTTTGAATCAGGATGCCATGACCTCCTTAGCTCTAGTTTGGGCACAGGCTCTTCCCCTTCCTCTTCAGTTTCTTCATCCGTACTGTGGGGATGATGACAGTATTAACAACAAATACTCAGGTGTTTTCTGTGTGACATGCACTGTTCTCTACACTTTATCTCAAGTCACTCATTTAGCCCATCATTCGGAGTCCTTGGTGATTGCTAACTGAATGGTTGGTAGTTTGAGTCCGTGCAAGAAAGACCTGGTGGTCCACTTCTGAAGCACAGTTCTGACATGCATGGGGTCGCTGTGAGTCAGAATCAACTTGATAGCAGCTGGTTTTATCCCTGTTTTACAAATGAGGAAACAGGTTCAGAGAAGTTAAGTCACTTGCTGGTGAAGCTGTAACTGGGCCTCCATCTCTGGGCCGCCACTCTTTCTCTTGGTGATGATCCAGCCTTGTTTGGAGGCATGTCGAGTTCATGGACGCTGCCATGTGGGGGCGCTCTCGAGCGCTACGTGGTGTGTTATCTCTGGGCAGCTTTTTCTCTTCCCTTCTCCCTGCCCCAAGGGCACGTGTAGCTTGGTGCCCATCTCCACTTCCTATGGTTTGTCTGCCTTGTCAAATTGTCCCCAGAATGAAGCTACTTCCAGTCCCCAGAGGTGCCAGAGCTTCCCGCGGCACCTGACTCCGAGGCCGGGCGTAGCTGGAAGCCCCTTCTCGGGATTAGCCGGGGACACAGAGCTCTGCGCATGCCCAGTCTCGCATTGGCGCGCTGGGCTCCTGGATCCCGTCTGGCCTGACTTCACAGGGCCCTAGAGCACAGGCTGAAGGCCAGCCTTTAAAAAAACAATAATTACATTTTTGTTGTTGTAGCAACGTAGACACTTATTCAACGGTTTCTAAATGTACGGTTCAGTGACATTGATGACGTTGAGTTGGGCAACAATTTTCATACGTGTTTCCTCAGCTGTTCTCCCTTTCACATCAAATCACTGCCCCCATCCCCGTAAACTTCCTTTCTGCTGTGTGGACCCTGACAAGCTATGGGCAACACTGCGGAGAATGAGTATTCCCAAACACTTAATTGTGCTCATGAAAAACCTGTACATATACTCCGAGAAGCTGGATTATAGGAAGTATGTGGCATCAGGATTGGAGGAAGACTCATTAACAACCTGCGATATGCAGATAATACAACCTTGCTTGCTGAAAGTGACGAGGACTTAAAATATTTACTGATGAAGATCAAAGAGCACAGCCTTCAGTATGGATTGTACCTCAATGGAAAGAAACCAAAAAGTCTTATCACTGGACCATTAAATAACATCCATATAAACGGTTGGGGGCACCAGAGCCTGTTCTGCATGCGTGTTTAAAGGAAGCTGGAGTTGGAGGGGAAGTTTGTTGCTGAAGTTCTGAGCTCCTAATATCTGATTTTTCTTCCAGGATGATGGCAGGAAAAGTGAAATGGGTTACTGATATCGAGAAGTCGGTGCTCATCAATAACTTCGAAAAGAGAGGGTGGGTCCAAGTGTCAGAAAATGAGGACTGGAATTTTTACTGGTGAGTGTGGGGAACGGATGGGCTGTTCTTCTGCCGCTTGTCTGTCTGTCTTGCTGTTAGTTCTAGTGCCCTGAACCCAGACGGCAACTGACCAAGGACTTGACTCTGAAAGCTGGTGTCTCTGTGTTCAGAATAAAGTGTTGAAGAGCAAAGATAACAGTGTTTTTTCTTTCTTTTTATTATGTTTTATTGTGAATTATATGATAGCTTACATGGGAGAACATTAACTTTACATTCATCCTATCGTATATCATTTCATTGCCATGGTTACAATGCCCTCCATGAATCATCAACCAACCAAAGAGTATATCCTACAAGCCTGCCCCCCAGTCGTCAGCACACAGCGCCTCTCTCCCTCTCTGGGTCTAAAGTCCCTAGCTGCTCCATCTCTCCACTTCATCATCTCTGCTACCATCTCTGGTATCACTGCTTCTCTGGATAGAGTTCCGCTCTCTGCTCTTCTCCCTTGGTGGTCCCAGGGACCTCCACTCCTAGACTGCAAAGTTAATCACTCCCCTAAAGCTGTCAGTTTGAGGACTAAGGTGCACCTGACCCAAGCCATGGTATTGTCGATAACCTCACATGCATGTGAAAGTTGGACAGTGAATAAGCAAGCCCACCAAGAAGAATTGATGCATTTGAATGATGGTGTTGGAGGAGAATATTGAAGGTACCACAGACTGACAAAAGAACCAACAGATCTCTGTTGGAAGAATGCAGCCAGAGTGCTCCCTGGAAGCCAGGATGACCAGACTTCATCTCTCATACTTGGCACATATTGTCAGGAAGGACCGGTCCTTAGAGAAGGACATCATGTTTGGTAAGGTGGATGGTCAGAGAAAAAGAAGGCCCCAGTGAGATGAATTTGCACAGTGATTGTATCAATGGGCTCAAGTGTGGCAACAATTATGAGGTTGGTCCAGAACTGGGCAGTGTTTCGTTTTGTTGTGCATAGGGTCGCTATGAGTTGGTACTGACTTGATGGCACCTAACAACAACAAGAAGCCAGGGGTCGGTAACAGATACCACAGAATGTAAGGGCTTCACACATGCCTCATTTGTATTGCTCGTGTGTTCTTGGCCTGGCCCGTGTGAGTCTGTTGCTTGGGCTGGGCTGAGCTGGGTTTGCCCCAGGCTATCTTATACCAATGTTGGGATAGTTTGTTTCATGATACTAGAAAGCCAGAACACAACTCTATGCATCTGAGGCAGGTGGTAGGCAACAAGTCATTATTTCGAGAACTTAATAGGGGAAGAGTTACACATTCATTCTGGCTTTCCTATGTGACTTGCTTCTGGGGGAGCTGAATTGTTGATGAGAAGTTTCTCCCTATAGAAAATACCAGTCAATCTATGAAAGAAGGATGAAAAAGTAAATGATCACCACATTATAACCAGGAGTGAATTCAGGAGCCCTGGTGATGCAGTGGTTAAGTACTAAGCTGCTAACTGGAAGGTTGGTGGTTTGAACCTATCAGCCGCTCCATGGCAGAAAGACGCAGTGGTCTGTCTCCCTGAAGGTTACTGCTTTGCAAACCTTCCGGAGCAATTCTACTGTGTATTTGGTGGGATCACTAGTCATAAGTCGGAGTCAAGTCGACAGCAAGACATTTTTTTTTTTTTTTAATTTTGGCAATGCAACCACGATTAAGCACTCAGCTGCTACTGGAAAGATTGGCGATTCGAACTCACCTTTCAGTTCTCCTGAAGAAAGACCTGGTGGTCTGCTCCTGTGGGCCTCAGGTGCCATCAGGTCACTTCTGACTCACAGCAACCGTACGCACAACAGAACGAAACACTGCCCAGTCCTGCGCCATCCTAACAACTGGTCCTGTGTTTCAGCCCACTCCGGCCGCCACTGTGTCAGTCCATCTCATTGGGGGTCTTCGGTCTCCAGGGACTGTTCCCTCCTGACCACATGTCTGAAGTGTGAGGGATGAGGTCTCACCATCCGTTTATTCGGAGCACTCTGGCTGTACTTCTTCCAGCAGATCTGTTTGTTCTTTTGGCAGTCCATGGTACTTTTAACAGTCTTCTTCAACACCATAACTCAAATGCATCGATTCCTCTACGATCTTGCTTGTTCCTTGTCCAAGTTTAACATGCGCATGTGACTATTGAAAATACCATGGCTTGGGTCAGGTGTACCTTAGTCTTCAAACTGACATCTTTGCTCTTCAACACTTTAAAGAGATCTTGTGCAGCAGATTTGCCTAATGCAATATGGTATTTGATTTCTTGACAGCTGCTTCAAGCAAAATGAATTCTGACAACTTCAATCTTTCCTACACTCATCATGATGTTATTTATTGGTTCAGTTGTGAGCATTTTATTTTCTTTATATTGAGATGTAACCCGTACTGAAGGTTGTGGTTTTTGATTTTCATCAGTAAGTATTTTAAGTCCTCTGTACTTTCAGCAAGCAAGGTTGTATCTTTTGCACATCACAGGTTGTTAATGAGTCTGCCTCTAATCCTGATGCCACGTTCTTCATATAATCAGCTCCTTGGATTATTCACTCAGTTTACAGGTTGAATAAATATGGTGAAAGAGTACAGCCCTGGCACACACCTTTCCTGATTTTAAACCATTCAGTGTTCCCTTTTTCTGTTGGAAAGATTGCCTCATGGTCACTGTTTGCATTCCTCATGAGCACATCAAGTGTTCTGGAACACGCATTCTCTGCGTAGCTTGCCATGATCCTCATAGTCAAAAAGCCTTTACATAGTTGATAAAGCACAAGTAAACATCTTTCTGATATTCTCTGCTTTCAACTAAGATCCATCTGACATCAGCAATGATATCCCTCGTTCCACGTCCTCTTCTAAATCTGGCTTGAGTTTCTGGCACTTCCCTGTCGATGTATTATTACAGCCATTTTTGACTCATCTTCAGCATATTTTTACTTGCATATGATATTAATGATATTGTTCAATGATTTCCATGTTCTGTTGGGTTACCTCTCTTTGGAATGGCACAAATATGGATCTCTTCCAATCGGTTGGCCAGGTAGCTGTTTTCCAAATTTCTTGGTATAGATGAGTGAGTTCCTCCAGCGCTGCATCAGTTTGTTAAAAGATTTTATGTTATATTCCATCAATTCCTGGAGACTTGTTCACTGGTACCTTCGGAGTAGCTTGAACTTCGGCCTTCAGTACCATCAGTTCTTGATCATGTGCTACCTTTTGAAATGATTGAACAGTGACCAGTTCTTTTTGGTACAGTGACTCTGTATCCCTTCCATTTTCTTTGGATACTTTCTGCATCATTTAGTATTTTGCCCGTATTATCCTTCAGTATTTCAGTATTACTTGAATTTTTTTCTTCAGTTCTTTCATCTTGAGAAATGCTGAGCGTGTTCCTTCTGTTTGGTTTTCTGGCTCCAGGTCTTTGCACATTTCATTGTGATACTTGACTTTGTCTTCTTGAGCTGTCCTTGGAAGTCTTCTGTTCAACAATTTGACATCCTCACTTCTTCCAGTCATTTGAGCATCTCTAAACTAAAATGAGAGCAAGTTTCGGTGTCCCTTCTGATATCCATTTTGGACTTTTCTATCTTTCCTGTCTTCTTTTGCTTTCTTCTGGTTTGATGTTCTTCATGTCATCCCACAACTCTTCTGGTCTTCAGTCTTTTGTGTCTAATGCATCCAATCTAGTCTTTGGATGGTCTCTAAATTCAGGTGGGAGAAGTTCAAGGTCATATTTTGACTCTTGTGGACTTGTTTTCATTTTTTTCAGTGTCAGCCTGAACTTGTATATGAGCAATTGATGTTCTGTTCCACAGTCGGGCCCTGACCTTATTTTAGCTGATAATATGGAGTTTTTCCACCATCTCGTCCGACAGATGTAGTCAATTTGATTCATGTGTGTTTCCAATCTAGTGAGGACCATGTGTATAATCACCTTTTATGTTGTTTAAAAAGATCTTTGTAATGAAAAAGTCATTGGTCTTGCAAAACTCTATCATGCCATCTCCAGCATCATTGCTATCACCAAGGCCGTATTTTCCTACCACTGATCCTCCCTCTTTGTTTCTAACCTTTGCATTCCAGTCACTACTAATTACCAATGTTGTTGTTGTTGTTGTTGTTAAGTGCTGGTCAAGTTGATTCCGACCCATAGCGATCCTGTATAGGGTTTCCAAGGAGCAGCTAGTGAGCTTGAACTGCCGACCTTGCAGTTCAAACGGCTTTGCAGTCTGGCACATTAACCCAATACATCTTTTTTTTTTTTCCAAAGTTTTTATTGTGAATTGAGTGAAAGTTTGAAAGTTTATAGGACTGATCATCAGTTTTACATTCAACAAATCATATAC